GAAATGTCCTTGATTTTAGGAATCACCTGGTTATTGTATATCCGTTGCAATTGTTTGTGTTCTTACTCGGACAAGTCAGCCGCAACATGCGGTTCAAGTTTGGGAGGATGATGCATGTGCAGCATCTCTGTGCCTTTACCAGCGATTACTCGACCAAGTTGGGGTCTGGAGCACTTGGGATTGTTTTTAGAGGGCAGTTTCCCAATGGATTCAAGATTGTAGTGAAGTTGCTCGAGAAGAGTTCTGAGAGAAGAACAACGAATGAGGATCTAATGAAAGCCGTGAGAATGCAGCAGTGCCAATCGGACTTGTAAAGAAGTGTTTCCTCCAAATCATCGTTGAGTTCCGTGTTAGTTTGGTTCAAGGTAACCCTGGCATTCTTCCTTCTTCGTCCTTCAATAAAACCTCAGAAATTGCACAAATAGAGAGAAACTTATTGTTTTTATCATAAATTGCAAATATATTTAATTTAATAATGGCATGTGTCATATTATTTGAATGGAAAATAATTTGTGCACACCCGGCTCAACACCCGGGTGTGCACACTCCCCATCGAAAAAAAAGAAAGCCCATCACCACCTGGTCCATTTTTTTTTTTTTTTTTTTTATGTTGGGGTGCACATCCGGGTGTTGGATCCGGGTGTGCACCAATCAAAGTCCTATTTGAATTAGTGGTTATAATTAAGCCACGTTAAGCTTCGTATTGTTATAATTTGGAGCATGACAAACCTTATTGATAGCTACCACATGTCCAATTAGATTTACACTTTGTTTGGATTGAGGAAGTTGGAGGAAAAAGAGAGGAGAGTGAGAGAAAGAGAGCACATTCTCTTATTTGAATAAATAATTTTAATGGAGAGGAGGGAGATGGAGGGAGATGGAGTCTCCTCTCCTCTTTTATTTTCAATCCTTTCGATTTGAGGAATTGAAACGGATTATATTATTTAATTTATTTCTGTTTTTAATTTTTTTAAATATATATACATTTTATTTCAATTATTTATTTAATTAGTAAATTTTAAAAATTTTATTCTTCTTTATTTTATTTTTTATTAAATTATTTACTTAAATAAAAATATTATCCTTCTCTCTCCTTTACTTTTATCTATCTAAACAAAACTAATATCAACCCTTCCCTTTCCTTCACACTTTTCCTCCCTTTCCTTTCCCTCCCCTCCCATTCGTCCTTTCCTTTACTAATTTTTATCCAAACATAAGCTTAGTGTTTTCTGCAGTTATCTCCTATTTATTTAGTAGTATTTAACATTAATGGAGGTCATGGCTAAATTTTAGAAGTCGCAAACCAAGTTCAGCAAGTGGGTGAGGTAGCAGACAAGTGGTGAGTTCTGGAGAAGGTTTTGCTCAGATCTCTTGTTGAGTTGTCTAACTAACCAAAAAGTTTGCCATGTTTTGCACAAATGGAAGTGGGTAGTTACCATCTACCTCATGACATAAAAGAGAAAAATTCACAATAAATAAGACATAACCAACCTTACACACAACTCAACAAATTTAGTTTTCTAGTTTCCTAAGTACTATTCACACAGCTCACAGACCTTAGCTTTAGTGCAACTTGTGGTCATAATGAGGTTAGTTCTAACTTCTATATTAATCTATTTGTTTATTTAGTAATTTTGAGAGAAATACCATTTCCTTAAATGTCAACTTATATGGCTTTCTAACCTCTCATTCATGTTCTTGTTAATTTTAATCTTCTTTGCCTAATCATCATGATTACTTAGTTTTATTCTAATTTCAAGCCTATTTACTTTTCTAGTTTTGTAACAATTTAGTTTAATCTGCTAGTTCTTTGTTAGTCAAATTTGTTAGTATATTTAGATGAAGACTCATTTGTTTCACTTATTTTAGTTATCATGGATCTTTAAGTTTTTAATTAACAATGATATTTTAAAGTACTTGGAATTATTCAAGGTAAATCAATAACTTATTTTACAAGAAAATGTCTCCTCCTATAAATCGCCTAAAGGTATAAAACTCAATTTTAAATCAATACTCTTCTAACAATTTTAATAAATATCAACTGCATAAAAAAATCATTATAAGAATCCTATTTTCTCATTTTATAATAAAGTAAGTGACATGCTCTGCATTTAAACAAGCCATGCGAGTGGTACCGCTCAAATATTTTGAAGAAACACCTACACAGATTTTAATTTATAGGGAACACGAGATTGTCGGGTCAATCCTGAGAAGAGGTTTATATGAGTGGCTGCTCGTACTCGGTCAAACAGTGAAATCTTGAGCCGTGTTCTTTACCCGACTCTCATGCGGCTTGGGCCAAACTGGGTTTATGATTTAGAGTAAAAGGGCAGCCCGTTAAGAGACCGAAGGGGCCTCAAGTTCAATGGACCGAAATGAAGATGAAGACGATTAGACGAAGATAAGAAAAAAAACGAAAGCTTTCTAGTTTCTACATTCCTTAGGAAAATGTATATAACGGCTCCATCGGGGAAAATGATGTGCACCTAATATTTGACTATCTTCTCGTTGTGAAGACTAAAGATGAAGTCCTTGTCTTCTTTGTTTAAATATTCATCACCAACTCAGGATCTAAAAGGTGATGACATAAAAGTCTTCTAC